AGCAGACTGCAAACATTTTTGGTCCGAGGACTGCTTGACATTCTTTGAAATCAATGAAGATCCCAAAGGGTTTTGGTTTGCATAGGTTATACCTATCAATATTGACTAAATTAGAAATTCAAACAGAACTAAAAAAAATTATTTATGATAAGACAACCCAACAATAAACCCATTAACAGAAATAACATATTTTCATGGAAAGTAACTATGTTTTCCAAAGCAGACACACAAAAATACTGGAAGCACAGTATTGTTTTACTTTTTAACAAATCTTTTTAATGTTTGGCTTAATAGAAGACAGCTGGATTCTTGTATCTGCTTCTACATTCAGTCTGTTGCAATATCCTAAGTCATATTACCTCTGGAAAATTCATCTGTTCACCCATGAGGGACTGAGAGTCAGAAAGGCAAATAATGAAAACAGTTTTGTCCCCAGACCATAACTTGAGAATTTCTGCCCTGAGCCAATCACTAACACGTACGCTACATGCTTTCCTGCTGCTCCTGGGCTACTCTGAGCATTCTAGCCAGACCCACCTTAACTGTGACCTCATGATGTAGTCTCTGATTTGGCATCCCTGTACCCACAGGCTGAGAAAATTCTCCAGCTTTTTTGAATCCTAAAAGTTCTTTGTGGTTTTTTGTATTTTTTTCAGTTAAAATATAGTTGATTTACAATGCTGTGTTAGTTTCAGATGTACAGCAAAGTAATTCAGAGATAGACAGATACAGATATAGATATATAGATATAGATATACACTATTCTTTTTCAGATTCTTTTCCATTATAGGTTACTACAAGATATTGAATACAGTTCCCTCCTGTGATATACAGTAAGTTCTTGTTGTTTATCTATTTTATATATAGCAGTTTGTATCTGCTAATCCCAGACTCCTAATTTATTCCCCTCCAACCCCTTTCCCCTTTGGTAACCATAAATTTATTTTCTATGTCTATGAGTCTGTTTCTGTTTTGTAAATAAGTTAATTTGTATCATTTTTTTAGATTCCACCTATAAGTGATATTGTGTAATATTTGTCTTTCTCTGTCTGATTCGTTAAAATCCTTTGTTTTTACTTCTTGTGTTTTACACATCACTTTCTAGTTTTCAGGGGAGTCATTTGTGGCCACTTTTTATGCCTCTACTCTGGTGTCAAAACAGAAACTGAATCTCACTCAAAGTCACCTCTCTCTTAAATACAGCAAATAGTACAGTATCCACGGGAAACATTTACTCAATTTTATGCCAAGAACACCCTGTAAAACTGAGACTAGAATAATAAAAGCATGGACATGTAGTCAGATACACCTGAATTCAGTTCTTTACTCTGCTACATCCTACTTGTGTGATTTAGAACAACTTTCTTAACCTTTGAGCTTGTTTCGACTACTGAAAAACAGGGCTGAATAATAGACTTATTCCATAGTTTTAATGTGAGAATGTAGCAATTTAACACAATGCTGGGCACAGTAAATGCTCAATAACTGCTATTATTTCTGTATAGCCAATCCATCAATGACTCCAGAGTGACACAAGACACAGGTGAAACCTGAGGGTGAGAGGTGGTATAAAACTCACTGCCAGGGGATTCTACTCTGCACCCTTTATGGCTCAGACTCAAGGATTCTTCTCAAGCACAGACACTTCCTTGTATCTCCTTTCAGGTCTTCCCTGACGGGCTCCTCCCCAAGATTCTCTGTCAGCAGCTATCACCACCTGCTTAGTCCCTTAGGGTACACCTGTCATTCTACTTGCAGGGCCTCTCATATCCATGATGCTACTCCACCTTCACTGCCCTACCCATTCCAAACCACCACACTTTCTCACCACACTACTACAACAGCTTTTGATTTCTATCTCCTTCCTCTAGACCCTTTCAATTCATTCTTCTCTTGGTAGCCAGAATGAGCCTTATCAATGGTCTTTTTGAATCCACTGCTCAGAACTTTTTAATAACTTCCCATTGCTCATAGAATAAACTTCCAAATCCTTACCATAGCCCACAAAGTCCTTTGTGATCTGGGCCCTCCTCAGCTCCCCACCCCATTTCACAACATTCTACCCACCCTGCCTCTGCTCACCATGCTTCAGACATACTGTTTTCTTTCTACTCCAAGAACCTGCCAAGCTCTCTTACACCTCCAAACCTTTGTGTTGGTTGCCCTCCTGTCACAAGTGCTCTTCAGATAATGCCTTATATGGTTGGCTCATTATCAGCCTTCACCTCTCAGTTCAAATGTACATCTTCACAAAGGACCTCAATAACCACCCTGTTCAACACAGCCTCACTGGTGACCCTCTCACTCATCACACTACTTCTCTCACGTGACTTCGGATAAGATATAATTATTTACTTGTTGAGTTATTGTGTGTCTTCCTTATTAGAACATAATCTCCACAAGGCAGAAAGTCTAGGTTTTTTCATCACTGTGTAACAACACTAAAGATGGCACTCCGCACATGTAGGTACCCAATAAATATGAAATACATACTGAGTAAATGAATTACTTTGTCTAAGATGTGGTAAATGGTAGAGGACAAGTTTCCAAACCTTGCCTGCCATAGGATCAGAAAAGGAAAAGGACACTGACCTCACAGTGACACCTGATCAGTTGAAACCTGAGAGTAAAATGTGTAATCTCATTGTCAGGGGATTCCACCTTGGAATTCTACAGTTCAAGCTCTGGGATCTTTCTCAAGTGCAAACCAGTTCCTGACACCGGAACTCCAGTCTTTCCCAAATCATTCTCTATGAATAGCTATCATTATCTCATCAGTCTGCCTTCTTCTTAATTCCTTGCTGCTTCTCCAGCTTTTCCTATCAAAAAAAAAAAGAGGCAAAAACAAAAAACCCAAAGCTTCTCCCCACAAGGATGACTGCTATGTGGACACATTCAGGAATTAACAAAATTTCTAAGAATTCCAGAATCACACAAAGATTCATATTCATGGTCCTTGGTCCATAACTTCTGACTCCCTCTTGAGAGAGAGTTTCATGGGGCTTCTGTCTGCTATGAGATTTAGATTCACCAAATTTCTTTCCTAAAACAACTTCACATCTCAGACTAACAAGATCATCCTTGTCTTAAACTGGCACCTTGTGTTTCAAAGGCTTTTTGTACAGTGGAGTCCCCAGTTCTCCAGGCTCTGTCATTCTCTCTTCCACTGCCTGCCACTCGTGGCTGGTAGGCAAGGATGGCTCTTAAAACTAGTGAGAAGGCGAGCATTGACATTATCAGTGACCAGTGAATAATCATTCTCTGTGCCCTTCTTGGCCTGGATGCCAGTGTGTGCCCTCTCCCAGGTACTACACAAATCCGGTAGTGAACTGACTGAATTGTGGAGAGCTATGCTCAGTTGGTCTTTATACCTATAATGCATTCAAAGCTTTGTAAACAGGGTTGAGATTACAGTACAGTGGATGATGGTATATGCTTGCAGACTGGGAGAAACAGCTTCTAGACATTCACATGTTTAGCATCCTAAAGAAATCCCATTCTGCCTCCTCTTACCATGCAAGTGCCAGAGCATTGGAAGGTAGGAGAGAATTATCTGCCCACGTCCACTGTCAGTGTCCCATCTTGAATTTCCTGATTGTCATTGTTTGGCTGTGAGCTATTTGGCAAGCTGTTTTGAAAGGCCCCAGGTTGTTAAATTCAAGAAACTCATGTAAGAAGACAAGAGAAAAACAATCACAGCAACAATAAAACACAGGCTTATCCTGGCAGATTACAGAGATGTTCCCTCTCTTTCTCCATCCTCCTCCCTAAGACATTATCCCCTGCCTTGAGCAAGTAGGAGACCTGGACTTTGTTGGAGCCTGGTGTGTTGTGCCTGCAGGACCCCTATTAGTATTGCTCAGAGGCTGTCAAGTCAAAAGAGCCAACAAGATGCTTAAGGAGCAGAAGGAAACTGATCTGCCCACACACGGGAACAGGCACCACAAGAAGCCTCAGAGTTGTCAGGGTCCTTCTATAGTCATTGTAGTGACTCTTACAGGAGCCCTGCAAGGATGTCTCTCCTTTAGAGAGCAGGAAGTTGACTCAGAATGGTTCAGTGATCTGCCCCAGATCACACAGCAAACAGATGCAAACCACCAGTCCTCAAACCTAAGGATGCTGACTTCTGATACAAGCCTCTCACATTAATAATAATAATCCCTATTTGCAACATATATGACAGCCAAAGGTCAATATCCCTTGTTAGACACTTAGACACCTACCCAATATCCATCCCTAACGTCCGTGTTACAAATGGAAGCTCAGTTCTGTTCAGGGCAACAAGTCCAGTCACAGACAACAAATAATTGATCTGACCCAGTGGTTCTCAAAACTCAGAGCAGCAGAATTTGTTAAAACCAGAGACTTCGTTAAAACACAAATTACTCATTGGACACATCGTGCAAATATTTTCTTTCATTCAGTGGGTTGTCTTTTCATTTTATTAATGGTTTCCTTTGCTGTGCAAAAGCTTTTTAAGTTTAATTAGGTCCCAATTTGTTTATTTTTTTTTTGTTTCCTTAATCTGAGGAGAAAAGTCAAAACAAAATATTGCTATGATTTAAGTCAAAAAATGTTATGCCTATGTTCTCTTCAAGGAGTTTTATGGTTTCTGGTTTCACATTAGGTCTTTAATCCATTTTGAGTTTATTTTTATATACGGTGTGAGAAAGTGTTCTAATAAGTGGTTAATATCCAAAATACATAATCAGCTCATATGACTCAGTATCAAAGAAACAAACAACCCAATTTAAAAATGGGCAGAAGACCTAACAGACATTTTGCCAAAGAAGACATACAGATGGCTAGCAGGCAGATGAAAAACATGTTCAACATCGCTAAAGATCAGGGAAATGCAAACCAAAACCACAGTGAGGCACCACCTCACACTTGTCGGAATGGCTTTCATCAAAAACAACACAAATAACAAACACTGGCGAGGATGTGGAGAAAAGGGAACCCTGCAATGTAAATGTACACTGTAATGTAAACTGGTAAAGTCACTATAGAAAATAATAAGGAAGTTCCTCAAAAAACTAAAAGTAGGACTACCATAGGACCCAGCAATTTCACTCCTGGGTAAATATTTGAAGAAAATAAAAACACTAATTAGAAAATATACCTGCACCCTAATGTTCATTGCAGCACTATTTCCAATAGTCAAGATACGGAAACAACCTAAGTGTCCACCAACAAACGAATGGATAAAGATGAGGCATATAAACAAACAATGGAATATTACTCAATTGCAAAAAGAATGAAGTATTGCCATTTGCAACAACATAAGTAGACCTAGGAGGTATTATGCTTAGTGAAATTATTCAGACACAGAAGAACAAGCACTCTATGTTATCACTTATATGTGGAATCTAAAATATAAAACACAACTGAACATAACAAAACAGCCTCACAGATATAGAGAACAACCTAGTGGTTACCAGAGGGGAAAGGGATGGGGGAAAGGGGCAGGATAGGGGTATGGGACTGAGAGATACAAACTACTCTACCAAATAAATAAGCAACAAGGATATATGTATAGCACAGGGAAATATAGCCAATATTTTATAAGAACTTTAAATGGAGTATAATCTATAAAAATACTGAATTTTTTGTACATCTGAAATTAATATAATATTGTAAATCAACTATACTTCAGTAACACACACACACATATCACTGTCCCACTGTCCCTACTTCAGGGATTCTGATTCGGCAGGTCTAGGGTAGAGCCCAGCAATTTGGACATCTAGCAAGTTTCCAGGTCGTGGTGATGCTGTGGCCTAAAGACCTCCCTTGGAGAATCACTTGGCCAAAACTAATCATGACATTTCTGGTCTCCAGTTCCCTTGAAGTCAGGTGTGGCCATGGATATTAGCACTTTTGCCAGTAAGATATTAGGAGAAGGCTGCTGGAAACTTCCAGAAAGATTTTGCTTTCTTAATAAAAAGGACAAGCATGGTAAGTGCCATCCCTCCCTTTTTCTGCTTTAGACAGAGAGGTGATGGCTGGGACTGCAGCACACAATCTTATGTCCACGAGGCATCAAGACAGCAATGTGGGACGGGGTAGAGGAGCTCAAAAAAGAAAAGCCTAGGTCACTCATGACATATTTGAACCCTAGACCAACTACCTCTGAATTTCTGCCTATTTCAGGAAGTTAGACAATCAAATATCCTTAATGCTTAAACATGATTAAACAGCAGGTAGATTGTTATTAGTAACTAAAAGCAATTGTGACCTGTACAAAAAGTCTCTGCAAAATAATTGTTTTCAGTCAAACAAAGGAAACTGGTGACTGCCAGTCTGCAAAGGAGACTTCCCATGCATCAGTACATTCAGTCAGTCCTAGGGGAACCATGATACTGGCTTAAAATAATTTTCTTTTTTCTAGTAGGGATGCCTTATATAAAAAGTTTGGAGTCTACTGCCATAAATAAACAATGTTTTGAAAAACACTATACTAAGTATTAAAAACATGTTTTTTGAATTAATACTGAATAAAAAAAATGTGGACCCGATGTGAAGCCTAAAGATGTAGGCTTAATTTCAAATTTGTCATTACAGACCTATCAAGCCTGATATACCACAACTGCCCCGAAAGACTGGCCTCACCAAGCACAATGAAACTTGATCTTCTGTATACATCTGTTGCCAGATTAGAGAAATGACCTACCACTGAGTATCCCAAAATGTGTCCCAAAGGATGAAGTTCCATAAAATGTTCCACCACAAAAAAAGTTTGACAAATGATGTATATTCTATCTCCCTCCCTTAGAAGCACCAAACACATGTGGATATTAAAGCCTTAAAGAAGTCCTACAGTAGAAAATTGATTATATTCTGTTTAAGTCAGCCTTTCCCAAACTTGGTCCACATTCTCCACCATGATACTCATTATGCTTTCAAAACATTTTGAGGAATGCTGGCTTCATAAAACAGTAGTCAAAAATGACTCTACATGTGGCATGAGTACCATGGTGGAAAAGCTATTAATTAAGCTATTAAATTAATCTGCTTGGCTTCAAATCCTAGTTCTATCAGATACAGCCATTGATTCTAAGATGTATTTTTTTTGACATTTGTCATTTTTTAAAGTCAGTTACATGTCTTAGTTTAATTAGTATTTTCTCTTAGTGTAATAAAATAATGGTGCATCTTACACTCAATGCACCATTAATTAATTACCAAGATTGGTAAAGCATTCTATATGAGCTTGAGCTCAACCAAGCCATGCCTCAGTTTCCTCAGTGGTAAAACTGGGATATTAAATGCCTCATAGAGTAGATGTGAAGATGAAATAGTGCCTGACACATAGCAAGTGCTCAGTGAATGCTAGCTATCCTGACAATTATTTCAGGGACACTGAAAAGGCTCCCTGTTCTGCAAATCCCTTCCTCACCTATTTATGAATTCTTTCCTTAACAGTGAATATTTTCCCCAAGAGATGTAAGTCTTAAAATGCAAATCCTTAAGGAAGAGAGAACTACAGGCTGGTAGTCATGCTCAAGAATAAAAACTAAAAACAGCCTCTTTTTGCAGGCAGATTTTGACAGAGAGAGGGGAGGAGTCCTAAGGCACAGCGGTGTATGAAGGCAGTGAAGAAACTGGGCCACATCTAGTGGGGAAAGTGTAATAGTGAGGATGGAGCAAGGTTCATATGGTTTTTCTGTTTTGAAATCACGCTTGTTTCCCCTGAGAGCCTCATATTACTCTTTGCTTAGAAACTGAGCATCCCTAGGAGGCTTCAGCCCTTCAGAGGGGATCACGCGTTCATCAACAGCCTCCTGAATGTGAAAAACTAGACACTGGGGAGGCCCCAAGAGGGAGATGCACCGAGAGGGAGAAGATGGAGAAGATCAGCTTTTGTCTCTTCGTTCTGCTGAGTATCCAGACTAAGAAGACCAGAGGCAGGGAACCACCTGAACAGTGACAGGTCCACTAAAAATTCTTAAACCTTAAATGCTATTCTTGATAATCCAACACCAAACTTTGAGGAATTCTCTTTTCTCTTTCCTTTGACAAATGTTTAATTATACAGCAGTATTCCTTTCATTATCAGCATCCTCTTCTTTAAATAAATGGGGCCATCTTTCTGATCTTCAAAAAACATAGCCAGAGAGACCAGAGAAGAAATATTTAATGGCTCAAGCACAAGTCTCAGAGGCACAAGAGCTCTCAGACAGTCTCGGCCATTTGCTGGCTATGTGACCTTGGAAAAGTCAATCTCGCTGAGCCTCACCTGTAAGGTAAAAGCAATACCCTCATCTTGCCTACTGCATGAGGGTGCTACAAACATCAAGTTAAATACTATACTTGAAAGTACTCAACAAAAAATAAGTAACTAAAAGAAGCAAGACAAGCTATTGATTAAAATTTACATTTTCTTTGCCCTAATAATCCCATAATTTGGGACTCATCCTATAAAAATATAAGCATCTGTCTGAAAGGAATTACGTGTGAGGACATTTGTTAACACTTGAGTTGGTACAGAAAGGGAGGGAGAAAAGGAAAAGGAGAACAAACCTGAAAACTATTTGAATAGGGGACTGATTAACCAAATTAATTTATGGTATATCCATATGGTGAAATATTACGAAGCTATTAGTATTTGAGGGAGATTTATATATCCTGACCTAGAGCATCTTCTCTGATATGTCTTGAAGTCATAAAGGCAAATTATATTTAGAGTTTGGGCTCTATGATCTTACATTTTTAAAATTTTTTTATTTTTATTTTTTAACATTTTTTATTGAGTTACAGTCATTTTACAATGTTGTGTCAAATTCCAGCATAGAGCACAGTTTTTCAGTTATACATGAATATATACATATTCATTGTCACATTTTTTTTCCACTGTGAGCTACCATAAGATATTTTGGCAGAATAGTATTCCATTGTATAAATATACCACATCTTCTTTATCCAGTCACCTGTTGATGGACATTTAGGCTGTTTCCATGTCTTGGCTATTGTAAATAATGCTGCTATGAACATTGGGGTGCAGGTGTCATCCTGAAGTAGGGTTCCTTCTGGGTATATGCCCAGGAGCGGGATTCCTGGGTCATATGGTAAGTTTGTTCCTAGTCTTTTGAGCAATCTCCATACTGTTTTCCACAGTGGCTGCACCAAACTGCATTTCCACCAGCAGTATAGGAGGGTTCCCTTTTCTCCACAGCCTCTCCAGCATTTGTCATTTGTGGAGTTTTGAATGATGGCCATTCTGACTGGTGTGAGGTGATACCTCATTGTAATTTTGATTTTAATTTCTCTGATAATTAGTGATATTGAGATTTTTCATGTGCCTATTGATCATTTGCATTTATTCCTTGGAGAATTGCTTGTTTAGGTCTTCTGCCCATTTTTGGATGGGGTTCTTATTAAGTCGTATGAGCTGCTTATATATTCTGGAGATCAAGCCTTTGTTGGTTGCATTCACAAAAATGTTCTCCCATTCCGTAGGTTGTTGTTTTGTTTTACTTATGGTTTTCTTTGCTGTGCAGAAGCTTGCAAGTTTAACTAGGTCCCATTTGTTCATTCTTGCTTTTATTTCTATTGCTTGGGTAGACTGCCCTAGGAGAACATTTTTGAGATTTATGTCAGATAATGTTTTGCCTATATTTCCTTCTAGGAGGTTTATTGTATCTTGTCTTATGTTTAAGTCTTTGATCCATTTTGAGTTCATTTTTGTGTATGGTGTAAGGGAGTGTTCTAGCTTCATTGCTTTACATGCTGCTGTCCAGTTTTCCCAACACCATTTGCTGAAGAGACTGTCTTTATTCCATTGTATATTCTTGCCTCCTTTGTCGAAGACAAGTTGACCAAAAGTTTGTGGGTTCATTTCTGGGCTCTCTATTCTGTTCCATTGGTCTATATGTCTGTTTTTGTACCAATACCATACTGTCTTGATGACTGTAGCTCTATAGTATTATCTGAAGTCTGGGAGAGTTATTCCTCCAGCCTCTTTCTTTCTCTTCAGTAATGTTTTGGCAATTCTAGGTCTTTTGTGGTTCCATATAAATTTTATTATGATTTGTTCTAGTTCTGTGAAATATGTCCTGGGTAA